ATGAAAGCAGGTAAGGCAGCCGGATATGATAGAGTATCACTCGAAATGCTGAGGGCTGGTGAGGGTGTGGTTACAGGCCTGCTGCACACCTTGTTTAATTTATGTTGGGAACTGAAACGGGTACCGGAAGACTGGTGCAAAGCCGTTATAGTCCCAATATATAAGGGAAAGGGGTCGCAGCAGGACTGTAAAAACTACCGTGGTATCAGCTTGCTTAGCATTGTGGGTAAACTGTATGCTAAGGTGTTAATTGAAAGAGTTATGGAAGAAACTGATGGAAAAATTTGGGATGTGCAAGCTGGATTTAGAAAGGGGATGGGGTGTACGGATCAAGTCTTTTCCATGCGCATGATAGCGGAGAAGTTTTGGGCTAAAAACCAGAAAGTTTTTTGTGCGTTCATGGACTTGGAAAAGGCTTATGACAGAGTGGACAGGAATGTGTTATGGCAAACACTGAACTCATTTGGGTTGAGCGCTGGCTTGATACAGGCATTAAGATCTCTTTATAGGGACTCTAGTGCTTGTGTCAGGATCAACGGGGTCTACTCGGACTGGTTTTGCATTCATAAAGGTGTCAGACAGGGATGTGTGGCTTCCCCGTGGCTGTTTAACTTATTTATGGACAGTTGTTTGCAAACTTTGAAAGTTGAAGAATGTGGGTTGAGAATGGGTGAGTCAACCGTCAAATGCCTTTTATACGCCGATGATCAAGTCATATTTGCATCGTCGGCGGCCGAGTTGCAAATGATGGTTACTTTAATGAATTGGTCATTGAAAGAAAGGGGTATGAAAGTGAACGCAAGTAAGACGAAAGTGATGGTTTTTGAAAGAGAAGAAAGTAAAACTTTATGTGAAATAAGAATAGAAGGGGAGTTGATTGAGCAAGTGGATGAGTTTGTATATTTGGGATGTTTATTTAGCAGGGATGGTAGATATGATAAGGATATAGAACGACGAGTGAACGCAGGAAATAGAGTGAATGGGGCTCTACACGCTATTATGAGGAGTCAGAATGTGTCAACTAAGGCACGTATGGCAATTCATAATGCTGTGTTAGTCCCTACTTTAATGTATGGTAGTGAAAGTTGGGTCTGGCAGAAGAAGCATGAGAGTAGAATAAATGCTGTAGAAATGCGTTCCTTAAGGAGTATGCTAGGGCTAAACCTGAATGACAGGGTGAGAAATAGTCTGATAAGAGAAAAGTGTGGTTTGCAAGATGACGTTGTGACAAGGATTAAGAAAGGAATGCTTCGGTGGTTTGGTCATGTAGAAAGAATGAACGAGGAAAGAGTGACAAAGCAAATTTATGTTGCGGAAGTGAACGGCAGGGTCGGGAAGGGACGCCCTAGACGAAGGTTTATCGACCAAATCGGCGATACATTAAAAATGGGCCAGATTAGGAGTACCCTTAACCGACGAGCGTGTATGCGTAGATATATGGATGTAAAAGAGGCGAGAGAGGTGTGTCAGGATCGCGCCAAATGGAAGTCCGTAGTCTCTGCCTACCCCTCTGGGTGACAGGCGTGAGTGTTTATGTATATATGGTTCGAAAAAAACCTCTGTCCTGGGAAGAACCAACAAGAAACCCAGCGGGACTTTTTTTAAATAACAGCTTACAATCATGTAATCACAATTAACCACACAAAACTAATTAGTAATAGCTTGGAAGCGATCACCCATTCCCAGGGGTTATTATCATACATAAATTCCTTAATATTATAATAACCCCTTTTATACAAACTTTGTTTAATAAAGTTTTTAAACTTTGAGCAGGTTAATATTTGTATATCTTCTAGGATTTTGTTGTAAAAGCGTATATACATTGCCCCAAGAATGAATTACTGACTCGGTGGAAACGAGTTACTGGTACTACTAGCTTGTATCTGTTCCTAGTATTTACAGATATACAAGATAGGTTGCAAAAAATAGATCTCATAACAGATATCAAGGACGGACTTTCAGCTCCAAAAGTGGGTCGGAGAGTTAGACATCAGAATCGTCCACACAGAAGTGGTAAAATTAAAAATTTTGTACAACCGACTTCAATATAAATAAAATGAAAACATCATTAATGTAGTCAAAGTCAATTAAATACGAATTATTAACATTGAGTTATATGTACTACGTACTAGAGAAGCCATTCCGAACATTGACTATGTTCAACTGAACTGTAGTGCAATCCATACAAACTAAATATTGCGTAAATTGAAGATTTGTGAATTCCATAAGATAATTATTATTACATTTTATTTAGAAATATGTTTGTTTAGATTAAAATAAGAGTATCTTATATTAAATTCTTATATTTATTTTATATTAAATTAAAGTCTTCGCGCATGCGCGACTACTACTCCCGCGCATGCGCGAAGACATAAGAGTAGGACACAATTTTTGTTTGGAATGGCTTCTCTAGTACGTAGTACATATAACTCAATGATTATTAAGGATAACTCAAAAATTATTGGCCAGATCTTCATCAAATTTATGTGGGACCACATTAGAAGCACCAGCTTTTAAATAAAAAAATAATTATCAAACACGGTTCACCTAGAAAATAGTTCTGAGGTAACACATAAAAATACAATTGAATTCAGTACATCAGCCTTTTTTGAAGTCGTCTAAAAATGGACGATGACGTTACCCAACGTATTAAAGCGAAGTTTTTCTGCTGAGTCACATTATTCCGGGAAAAAAGTATAAACTTTATTTGTCACCGCTCCTGAATGTGACTAAGATGCATAGTCTTTACATGGGAATTTGTCAAAATGAGGACTTTCCTGATCAATACTGCTTCAAGAAAAGATACAACACCCGAAGAGTAATACGTGTGCTAATTGCGATGCTAGAGAATCAAATGACGAACATAAAACAAATTGTTATGACTCTGTTGAAGCTATGAAAATCGACAGGAAAAAACCAACCCAGGATGAAGATATTGTGTTCATTACGATTGATTTACAACCAACAATGCCTAATGTTACCAAACCTGACAACTACAAAATCGTTGTGCTTACGCCAACTGTGGTTTTGAAATCTCTGTATTCATGTTAATGATGAGGGTAAGGAAAAAGCCGTCTGTTGTACATAGACTGAAATGCAGCGGATCGTGGAAGTGTTGAAGTCGCAAGCGCACTTCTAAGATTTGTTGAGGTAGATCGAAGTTGCCGAAACAGAAACTTTAACATGATTGCACTTTATCGATATTTTATCTTAAAAGGATATTTTAAAGTAATCGATCACAAGTTTCTGGAAGTTGGCCATTCTTATTTGGATCGTGATTTTGGTAGGATAGAAAAAGTCCTTAGGAAGCATGATACAGTTTATGTTACTGACCAATACCGGTTGGCGTATTACGTATCTTGCAGAAGGCTAGCGATAGGGAAATTAGAGCAATAATTGCTGGTAAATCGCAGATTCGTATTATGTATCAGCGATAACCAAGCTAACTAGCGACAGCGCTGCCTTGTAGTCGCTAGTTAGCTAGGGCTTGGTTATCGCTGGTCGAAAAATATGTATCTGCGATTTATCAGCAATTATTGTTCTAATTTTGCTATCGCTAGCCTTCTGCAAGATACGTAATACGTCTACGGATCATCATGTGCAAAGCTTTTCGTAATAATACAGTGACGGATATGACCGAACATTTCAGAATAATTATAACTTTTAACAAAAAGTAAAAACCGACTTCGCATTGCTAAAAAAAGTTATTAGTGGTCAGCCACCGCAAAGTCTAGATCACAAAGTGAAGATGCCTCGTGTAGAGGCGAAACACGTGTCGTATTGTCGTCAGTGGTGTGTCTTTCCTAGTGTAGTGGGCGGGAGGTGCTCTTCATACTAGGTAAGACACATCATTTTATTTTATCGAGCGGATGACGCGAAGTAATTTTTACCAACTTTACTTTACCTCACGATACCTTTTTGCGACCGGCACCCCCCCATTCTCCGGTCAAAACCCGCGCTCAAGCGAATATGTGCCATAATATGTCATGCTCGCATAAGTGCAAGACAAGTAAGAGTGCAACGCGGGAAGCATCTGAAGTACGAGAAGAAGCTGCAAGCGTTCACCAAGTGGACCTCCATTTGCATATGCCGGTTGCAAATTCAAAACTTATTCTAATCCCATCTCACCTAATACAGTCCATTTGCCATATATAATTTCAATCCGCCGCTCCAGTATCAGTGAGGAAAAAAGAGAATCTCCGAAATCAACTTAAGTATGTGAAATCAAAATATTGCAACATCTATTAGTCGATTTTAAGTCAAGAGTAATATTTTTATTATAGTTAAGACATTGCACACAAGTGATCTCTGCTATTACTCTGTTTTTATTGATATTGTTTAGTTATAAGAGAAAATTAGAGATAGAGAATGTTTACCTATATTGCTACGTAGTAATACCTAATTTTAAACAGCTAAAAGTGCAGAAAAACTTTACTTTTGTTCATGAAAGAAAGAATTATAATTATTTTTTTTTCTCAAATTATATAATAAGAAAAATATTACATGTGTTTAATTGCTATCATGCCATTAATATTTTAGGTTATTTACACAACTTTGCATTATAGTTTAGTACAAAAATTAGTTTCGAAGCGACTTATCTCCAAAAAAAAAGTAAAAGTTTAACCTCGATTTCCTCAAAATTAGAATTATATGACTTATCACCTTCATCCACTCACGTCTTCAAATAATGACAGCGTTTTCTTAGTGACATTAAACAAAATCTGTTAGATTGTCGAAAAACAAAGAACTAGTCTTCTCGCCCGCTCGCAGTCGACTAAAGGCGTTACGGAAAATTGACCGTAACTTAATGCGCAATTAAGGCCCGTCTGGTAATATACATAGAAGTCTTTGGTGTGAGTTTAATACATTCCTTTGGTGCTCAGTTATAATGCAATTTACATGAGGAATTTCCGACTTGGTTTTATTAAACCGCAGTAACTTTCAAAAAAATCTATACGAACGAATACTTATTAGTAGATTTTAGCAGAGTTTCTTAAATGTTACGTGAGAGGTTCCTCGGTGAAGTACGGATGCTCGAGACAGTCCAACGCTGTCAAACGTTTCGCTGGATCGAATACTAGCATGCCCTGAAAGAGAAGAACATTTTTTTTAATAATATAAGAGTGTTAAACGAGCACACAGTCCACCTGATGGTAAGTGGATGCTGTGGCTGAAAATGCAGAAGCGTTGTCTCTGGTTCTCTACAGTTCTCTTTATATTAAAAAAAAAAAACAATCCGCCCCGGCTTCGCACGGGTAATTTCTGGATCTCGACTACAGCGCCATCTACCGGGTCCAATTGTGAATCTAAACCATCTGATGATTTTTTCGGTCAAAACCGGTCGAGCCGTTTATGAGTTTTAGCGAGACTAACGGACATCAGTTGATTTTTATATAATGAGATAACAACATAAAACAGAAAGGCGTTGGTGAGACTTCTTCGTCTTCAACATATTATTTATTCACTATCATCATCAGATGATAATGAAGCAGAAGTGTTAACAACGCAATCTTTCTACCATATCACTCACTATGCTATCGAGTTGGCAAAACATTTCCAGTAGTGGGCCTGTGAAGTGGTGTTGATAATTATTAATATCATCTTTTTAAACAGTTATACGTGGTAGAGCCACGCTGCAGCTATATTATGGTTGTAGCACACATGGGTCGGCTCGATTGAGGTAGGAGGATCACGCTCCCATAGAATACCAACGCAAAATAGCAGCTTTATGCTGCTGTGTTTCGTATGGTGAGTGTAGAGAACCGGAGAGGGTCTCCGGTTCTCTACACTCTCTTTTACTGAAAAAGAGACATTTCATCTTAGTCCTCACGGGTGACAACACATCTGCATTTTGATTCGCAAACGAGGATAGATGTAGATGACTATGGGCCACAGCAACCACTTACCATCAGGTGGACTGTGTGCTCGTATGTCACCCTTATCCTATAAAAAAAATATAATAAATTGAGTGCAACAAACAACTAACCAGTAAAAGTAAAAACAACCAGTGAGTGTTGCCAGTGACGTCTTATGGATCTGAGACGTGGTTTTTCACTGCTGGCAGTATGAGTAAGCTCACGATCGCTAAGTAGAGATCAATAGAGAAGGCTATGGTCGAATTTCACTGCGTGATGAACTTAGAAATGAGGATATCCGCAGTAGATCCAGAGTGACCGACATAGCCCAACGAATCAGTAAGCTGAAGTGGCAATGGGCCGGCCATATAGCTCGAAGAACCGACAACCGATAGGGAACAAAGGCTCGAGTGGCAGCTTAGTACCAGCAGGCGAAGTCTAGGGCGACCCACTAGATAGAGTGACGACCTGGTAAGACATGCAGGAAATCGATGGTGGCTCAGGACCGTGCTTGGTGGCAGGCATTCCTTGGGGGAAACTAATGTTCAGCAGTGGACTTTTGAAGGTACAGTGTAGGGCCGTCCTATACTCCGCTTGCCGGTGCCGGTACACCATTTGCCAGTTCAACCTTTAGCGTCATTTATTATCTCAGCTTACTTTGATCATGTTAAGTGCGTGTGGGTGTGCTCGAGGCAGTACTGAGGCCAGGTCCCGCGGCGGGTACTCCGGGAAGCTGTCGGCCACGATGGCCACGTTGTCCGGCCACTCGTGCCGTGGCGGCCGCCCTATCAGTCTGCGAATCGATATTCAAATTATTAAACTTATTATATCTAAACTAAACTAAATTAGCTAACAAACTAAGTTCTGCAGTATATGCTGTAAAAAATAAAAACATATGTGCAGTTCACATGCGGTAGAAATGAAACCTTCAGAAAAGGACACCGAGATAATAAGGAAACACTGTACTGTATTCTATCTCATTCTCTCGCAGGCTAAATCTTATAGATGTATATGTTTGTCTCTTTTTAGTGTCGCTTTTTCGTTTCATCGAGTTTCAAATCGAACGATTTTAAAGAAGTTTTCACTTTAAAGGTGCATAAGCACGCGTTGAAACAGACAGATTGGTAAATTTTAGTTATTTCCAAAGCAAAATGTAATATGGAATGGATGGATGGATTCTTGCTATAGGGTAATGCGACTGACATTGAAATAATCCTTGTTTTGCAGAAGGGAGCCATAAGAGCACTTTGTAACCTAGGTCCGAAGGAATCTCTTTTAGGAAGGAAGAAAAATTAAAAGAAAAAAGGATTACTATTACTTGATACTGAAAATCTATAAATGAAGACATGCCTTAAAGGACAAGTATCCAAGCCAACAATCTTAATAAAAATGTTACTTGGATATGTTCCGATATACACTGTGACCACTGTAAGTTGTAACATCAATTAAGTATACTGTGAAGTCCTTCCTTTTTAGTTTGCTATACTGGTTACTGTTTAAAACGGCACGCACTCCAGTATACTGTCATCCCCATTTTTCGACACTGTTATGATATGAAAATATTTATCATGTACACGTTTTCTGTTCAAAAAAAAAATATTATTAGAATGTTGTTGCTTTTAAAACTTAATGCCCGAGTTTATTCGAATAACGGTATGAATTAATAATAATAACAATCATTTGTGGAAGCAGTTAAATCACTAAGCGCTGTTATGTTTTTTAATCACATGATCAAAGTACTGAGAGCACCTTACCTAGAAAGCGCCAGTGCTCACAGTACAAAAATGGCGGTGATTTATGACGTCATATATTTCCCTAGGGTACTGCGGCAGTATACTGGTTATCCATAACGGAACAAATTTTTCACCAGTGAGAGCACTGAGCAGTGCTCGCAGTGTATATCGGAACACGACTACTTTGGCGCGCAACGCTCGAAACAAATCAATATTACATTATTAACAACTATCCTTTATAAACTTATTCTTCTTTTTTTATGAACGATACGCCCAATAAAGTATCAAATTCTGTATTATTTAAGTTTCTCGTGTACTTGAATGCACAATGTACTTACGTGGTAGAGCCATGCTGCAGCTATATTAATAGTATAGTTGTAGCACGAATGGGTCGGCTCGACCAGGGGGGGGGGGGGGGGAAGGACCACGCTCTCTCAGAATACCAATCCCGGTTCTATGTTACCCGGTCGTTACTATAATAGGGGCCGGCCTAAATACCCTAAAACATCACTTACCTAAATATACAATGCAGCTGATCGGAGTCAGAAGAGCCCGGCAAGAGAGGTGATCTCGTATGGAGTTGCGCCAACACGCAGCCACACGACCACACGTCAACCGCTGTGTTGTAGGACACACCCAGCAACACTTCTGGTGGCCGGTACCATAGCGTCACCACCTAGAGATAAATATAATTCGATTAGACTTTGTTAGGTTTTTTTTATAGGATAAGGGTGACAAACGAGCACACAGTTCACCTGATGGTAAGTGGTTGCTGCGGCCCATAGACATCTACATCTATCCTCTATTATAAATCAAAATGCAGATGCGTTGTCAGCCGTGAGGACTAAGATAAAATGTTTCTTTTCCAGTAAAAAGGGTCTCCGGTTCTCTACACTCACCATACGTAACAGCAGCGTTAAGCTGCTATTTTACGCTAGTATTCTGTGAGAGTGTGGTCCTTACCCGGTCGAGCCGACCCATTCGTGCTACAACTATACTATTAACATAGCTGCAGCATGGCTCTACCACGTAAAAAATAACCGAAATATTAACTGGCTAGTGTCCTCTACTATGAATAAGTTTCCTTTTTTAAATATAAGATAAACCAACAGACCACCTGACACTTTATTGATTGCAGAATAAAATGCAGTGCAACACTGCATTTTATTAGAAACGAGGATTCTATCTAAGTCCTCAGGGGTGGTAACGCATCTGCAATTTGATTCTTAATCGATGATAGATTATGGGCCACAGAATCCACTAACCGTCAGGTTGACTGTGTGTTCGTTTGTTACCCTTATTCTATAAAAAAACTACACTACTATTACAAACAAGGGAGCTACAGATGTATTGCCAAATCTGAGCACTAAGATGGAAGCCTCACAAACACAGTTAATTATTCCGGCGCTCTATACTGAGATCTACTCTGACCATCAATATATATGTACTACTTACTAGATTTCGCATTCCAGACATACACTATGTTCAACTGAATTGTACTGCAATCCGTACAGTGTGTCATTTAGTGTTGTTTCAATCTACTAGTTAGTCTGTGGTTTCAATATTCATGCAGTGTGGAACGGCGCTAATAATACAAGATTCCAAATTAAAGTTTAAATTAAAAACTGACCGCGCAGACGCAACGCGCTTAAATCAACTGCGTATGCGCGACTACTATCTCCCGCGCATGCGCGAAGACATAGAGTAGTGCACATTTTTTGTTTAGAATGGCTTCTCTAGTACGTAGTACATATAACTCAATGACTTTGACGAACTCCTACTCGTAGACGGAAAAAGAGTCTACAGCCTAGTGAACACCTATAGTGCAATTGTATATACTTCTTATATTTGATTTTTGAATATTTGTACAACATACAGATTCGTTGGGCTACGTCGGTTACTCTGGGATAGTTAATTTAGTTTTGTTAGAGAAGAACCTTTGCGGAAACTTGACAGTGACCTAGGCGTGCCGAGATATTTAGCCCTGTATGCAGTAACCTCTGGACATGCCAGCAACACGTGAGCCGCCGTTTCCTCCTGCCTCATACGTGCACAGGAGATTGTCTGTAACACCTATATAACTGGATATCCTATGCGGATCAGTAAACTGAAGTGGCAATGGCCCGGCCATATAACTCGAAGAACCGACAACCGATGGGCAAGAAAGGTTCGAGTGGCAGTCTCGTATCGGTTAGAGAAGTTTAGGGCGGCCCCCCCACTAGATGGATTGACGGCCCGGTAAGACATGCAGGGAGTCGACGGATGCAGGTGGCTCAGGACCGTACTTTGTGGCATTCCTTGGAGGAGGCCTATGTTCAGTGGTGGACTTGTGAAGGGCTGCAATGATGATCATTTCATTTCACACATCTCATTGGGCAAGAAAGGTTCGAGTGGCAGTCTCGTATCGGTTAGAGAAGTTTAGGGCGGCCCCCCCACTAGATGGATTGACGGCCCGGTAAGACATGCAGGGAGTCGACGGATGCAGGTGGCTCAGGACCGTACTTTGTGGCATTCCTTGGAGGAGGCCTATGTTCAGTGGTGGACTTGTGAAGGGCTGCAATGATGATCATTTCATTTCACACATCTCATCTCACAGCTGGCGTAGTACAGTTGACATAGGCGTCCAGTATAGATTGCCTCATTGGAGGGATATTTGCCATAGTTGCCACACTTGGCAGGAACGCTGACAGTCGCCAGTTTTTTATTAATTTGAGCTGTTATCAGGATGATGCTGTTGTCCATCTCCTGAAACAGTACATCTCTCTCACGTCTGAGAATCCACTACGCGCGTGTCACGACACGCACGTAGTGGATTCTCTTACATGTTTCTTGTTTTTTTGGTTTTCTTTAAAACGTTACCTCCACATATTTTAATTAATACTAGCTGTTCCCCGCGACTTCGCCCGCGTGTAATTTAGTATTTAATTTATGTTACACGGAACTCTAATTATTTTTCTAAAATATAAGTAGCCTAAGTTACTCCTTATAACATCAGCTATCTGCCAGTGAAAGTCCCGTCGCAATCGGTCCAGCCGTTTCGAAGAATAGCCGGAACAAACAGACAGAAAGACAGCCAAAATTTTTTTCACTTAGCGGCCAGCCTCCGCAGAGTCTACTTCATCTGAGGATGCCTCGTGTAGAGGCGAAACACGTGTCGTATTTTCGAGAGTGGTGTGTCGTGCCTAGTGTGATGGTAGTGCTGGGATTAACGGCGACGGGTATAGTGCGCGCGATTGAGGGAGGGTGGGAGGTCCCCTTATAACTGGGCAGGACACATCATTTTCTTTCTTCACGCGGAATTAAGCAAATTAGTTTATAACAACCCCATATTAAAATTATGTTTTTGTTATAAATACCGTATATACTTTCATATACATTTAGTTAAAAGCTGTTATTTTGACATTACAAACAGACACTTCAATTGTATTTATTTGTACGTTTATAAATTATATTAACCCTTTTCATATTAATTATCTCTATTTCGATTTAAAAGGCATTATGTGGACCCTTTTCATAGTCATATTAAATACCTGACTGCCCCAGAACGGTAATGTTTTTCGAGTGTCTCTGAAACATTAATAACATACGGAATGTTATTAGATTCATTTTAGTTGTGGAAGTGACATAGGATATAAAACTTTTCTATTTTCAGTAAACTTTTATACACCATCAGTTTTTTTTTAATGACTCTTTTAACCTTTGAGCTTTTTTACCATAATAATAATAATAAGGGTGTATTATTGGCGAAAAACTTCCCACGACTGGACGCGCCACTAGACAAAGTAGCGCCATCCCAGCCTGGAGAAAAAGAATTGAGGACCGTATCGCAAAGGCAAGAGAGCCCTAATAGACAGACTGACAAGCACAATCAGGTCGGGTAATAATAGACAGAGAATTGTGCGCACCGTCAGGATGGCGTTTGATTGACTTGATTGATTGACAAACTGATATTTGTCCCACCCGAATATTACGCAAAAACTGACGGAGCGCATAGACAACCTGAAGCAGAGAATCGCTGCTTGGGGAAAGCGGATTCGGCGATATACCGAGAGGTCGACACGGTTCAACCAGAATCGTCTCTACCAGAGTGATCAGAAGAGGCTCTATAAATCATTGGAGCGACCAATGGTACGTGGAACGGGCCAAGCACCGAATAAGGCCGACACTATCGCATTCTGGCGTGGCCTGTGGTCAGAGCCCGTAAACCACAGCGAGGGCCCTTGGAAGGAAGTTGTGGTGAGCCAGTGTGCTAATTTTACGCCCCCCGACATCATAACGCCGGAAGATGTAGCTGAGGCGGTCCGAAGGGCCCCGAACTGGAAAAGCCCGGGGCTCGACGGGCTACATCGCTACTGGCTGAAGGGGTTAGCGGTGCGTCACGCTCTCGACCAGAAGTCGCTCCCGAGCCTATTCACTACTGGGATCACTCATTTGGTTCCTTTTTTTTTTTTTTTTTTTTTTTTTTATAGGAGAGGGGGCAAACGAGCATGCGGCTCACCTGATGGTAAGTGACTACCGCCGCCCATGAACAACCGCAACACCAGGGGAATTGCAGATGCGTTGCCGGCCTTTTAAAAAGGAGTAGGCTCTTTTCTTGAAGGTCCCTAAGTCGTATCGGTCCGGAAAAATCCCTGGTGGTAAACTATTCCACAAGGAAGTTGTGCGAGGAAGAAAACATCTTCTAAATCGCACAGTGGTGGACCGCCAATCATCCAGATGGTGTGGATGGTATCGGGAGTTCTGCCGCGATGTGCGTTCGTGAAATTTGGCGGCTGGGATTAATCCGAACAATTCCTCAGAGCACTCCCCATGGTAGATGCGAAAGAAAATGCAAAGAGATGCAACATCTCTTCGCAGTGCCAATGAATCGAGCCGATCGGAAAGGGCTCGGTCGTCGACGATTCGAGCCGCTCTGCGCTGGATGCGGTCAAGTGGAAGGAGCTGGCACTGGGGAGCCCCTGCCCAGAGATGGGAACAGTATTCCATGTGAGGCCGAACCTGCGCCTTGTAAAGTTGCAGGCGGTGTGCCGGCATGAAATACTGTCCCGCTCTGCTGAGCACGCCAAGCTTTTTAGAGGCCAATTTGGCCTTCTCTTCCAAGTGACCACGAAACTGCACGTCACTCGATATGTCGACTCCGAGGATACCGATACTGGCTGAGGCAAGAAGGGGAGTGCTAAAGACCGGGATACCACAGACCCGAGCAAATACCGCCCCATCACGTGCCTACCTACGATATACAAGACACTAACATCGATTTTGAGAGCGAGAATCACTCGTCACCTGAACTCAAATCAGGTGATGTCGCGCGCTCAATATGGATGTCGGGTCGTGGAACCAAGGAACCACTCCTCATTGATGCGGTCATTGCCAAGATGGTTAAACGCAACCGTCAGAACCCCTCCGCCGCCTGGATAGACTACAAAAAGGCATTTGAATCGGTGCCTCATACATGGCTGAAGATGTACCTCGAGCTGTACAAGGTTGACTGTATAGTTAGAGACTTCCTCGGGCAGTGTACGGGGCAGTGGAGTACGATCCTTTGTCATCTCGGCGAGCGGATGACGGCTGCGGAGAACCACATAAGGATAAGAAGGGGTATTTTCCAGGGCGATTGTCTGAGTCCAATCTGGTCTGCCTCTCTCTAAACCCTCTCGGTACCTTACTGGAAAGTTCCGGGAGAGGATTCCAGCTTCGGAAAGGAGGTACAAAAGTGACCCACCTTTTCTATATGGATGATCTCAAGTTATTCGCCTCCAGTCGCTCACATGTTGTGGAATTGCTAAACATTACTTCTGATTTTAGCAATTCTATTAGAAAGAGGCTGGGGACGCATAAGTGTGCGGTCTTCCATGTCGAACGAAAGGGTTGCTAACTAATCTGCATTTAAATGGCTATAAAACCAAATGTATTAAATTTACAACAATGAATGTTAAAAATCTAAATTACAATGAGTTTTTAAATGGGGAAGAACTGAGCACTGTTGAATCCTATGTTTTTCTTGGCATCCTCTCGACGCAAAGCTTCAGTGGGGCCCCCATATATCCAAACTAGCAAGCAGACTAAGCTCTACACTTTATGCTGTAAATATTATTAGAGATCTCACTAGTTTCGAGACAGCTAGATTAGTTTATTTCAGTTATTTCTGGCATAATGTCTTACGGGATTTTGCTATTGGGAAATGCGGCTGATTTAGAAACTATTTTTGTTTTACAGAAGAGGGCCATAAGAGCTATTTACAACCTTAAACCGAGAGTCTCTTAGTGAAAAATTTAATGAAATAAATATATTAACTTTGGCCTCTCAGTATAGTTACGAAAATTTCATGTATGTTCACAAAAACAAAGATAGTTTTAATAAATAAAGTGTTATACACTCTGTAAACACCAGGAACAAACATAAGCTAGTGATACCAGCCTCTCGACTCCACAGAGTCAGTAATTCATTCTTGGGGCAATGTATACGCTATTACAACAAAGTACCAGAAAATATAGGTATCTCTATTAGTACCAAGTTTAAATGTTTAATTAAACAAACACTGTATAAAAAGGGTTAGTATAATATAAATGAATACATGGTTAATAATAACCCCTGGGAATGAGGTGGTCGCCTCCAAGCTGTTTCTAAAATAAATTTTGTAAATAGTTTGTAATCATTTATATTGTAAAATTTATTTTGAAAAAAAAAGTCCCGCTGGGTTTCTTGCTGGTTTTTTCGAACAGAGGATTTTTTCGAACCAGTGGTAAAGTAAAAAAATAACTTTCAATAAGAATTACTTGCACTCAATATTGAATAAAAATAATTCTATTATATTATATCATGAAAGTCAACGGATACTGTACTCACAACACTGGTGAGCTTCATCTCGGTGTCGTAGGTCTTGGCGAGGCCGAAGTCCGCGAGCTTGACGCGGCCTGCTGACGTCACCAGCAAGTTGTGCGGCTTCAGATCGCGGTGGACGATGCGATGCGAGTGAAGGAAGTCCACGCCCGACAGGATGTCATACGACATGCTCTATAATATTTATTTAAGCATTTGATTATTTACTAAAAAAGTTACTCCTTACTAGGAATTTCCTTTATATTTGTGGTGATCATAATTTACAAATGAAAAGACATCGATATTTCGAATAATTATCTGTAATCCATACAAATACTTGTTCTATGCAGGATTCGAACCCGCGGCCTGTATCGCTGCAGACAAACGCTTAGTCAGTGTGCTATGGACCTGCCCAAGTTAGTTAATAGCTAAACAGTCATCCAATGAGCATTATGTCTATTTACTGGCACGATAATTACAATATTATTTAAAGTACACCAATACAGGAATTAACAATATCACTGGTGCCGGCGGGGAGCGAACCCGGGTTGCTCGCATACTGTGAAATTTACAGCGATCGCTAACCATCTGAGCTACTACGGGTCTTGAAATTGTTAATTGCAATTTTAGGTGCTGATTTACCACATTCTCAGCGGTGAAGGAAATCATCGGGAGGAAACCGGCATATCTGAGAAATAAGAAAAAAAATTGAAGGCATGTGAAGTTCGCCAACACTCATTGGCACTGCGTTGAGATGTTGCATCTCTTTGCGTATTTTATCGCATCTACCACGGCGAGTGCTCTGAGGAATTGTTCGGACTAATTCCAGCCGCTCAATTTCACCATCGCACATCGCGACAAAACTCGCGATACTATCCATATCATCTGGATGATTGGCGGTCCACCACTGTGCGATTTAGAAGAAGTTTTCTTCCTCGCACAACTTCCTTGTGGAATCGATTACCACCTGCGATTTTTCCGGACCGATACGACTTAGTGACCTTCAAGAAAAGAGCCTTCTCCTTTTTAAAAGGCCGGCAACGCATCTGCGATTCCCCTGGTGTTGCAGTTGTTCATGGGCGGCGGTAGTCACTTACCATCAGGTGAGCCGCATGTTCGTTTGCCCTCTCCTATAAAAAAAAATATAGACATAGTATAATTAATAGAATCAGGCGTTACTTTGCGGAAATCCATTATATAAAAGCTTTTACAAAAATCACGGTGATATAGACTATTGTCTATATCACCTGAGGATGCCTCGTGTAGAGGCGAAACACGTGTTGTATTATCGTCAGTGGTGTGTCTTGCCTAGTGTAGTGGTGTTGGGAGTAGCGGTGCTGGGATTAGTGGTGACGGGGATAGTGCACGCAATTGAGGGAGGGCGGGATTTGCTTCTTCATACTAGGTAAGACACATCATTTTATTTTATAACGCGGATATTTGCGAAGTAAATTTTTGTAAAAGCTTTTATATAGACATAGGTTTTATATTGTATTACTAGCTGTTCCCGCGACTTCGCCCGCGCGTAATTTATTACGATTGGATTTCATGGGTTTTAATTTTTTGCACGGAAGCCTAATTCTTTTTCTAAAATAAAAGTAGCCTAGGTTACTTCTTATAACATCAGCTATATGTCAGTGAAAGTCCGGTTAAAATCGGTCCAGCCGTTTCGGAGATTAGTCGGAACAAACAGATACAGACAGAAAGACATACACAAAAAATTTAAAAATCGTGTTTTTGTTATAAGTACCGTATATACTTTCATATGCATATAGTAAAATGCTGTTATTTCGACATTACAAACAGACACTTCAATTTTATTTATTTGTATAGATTATTGTCGTAGCATGAACGGGTTGGCTTGACCAAGGAAAGGACCAATGGTCCTTCCATTACCAAACATATTATACTCACCCTTATTCTATTTTCCGAGAGAGGTCCTGGTGCTCTCTTAAGATAAGACTCCAGGTCCTGTTCGACATGTTCAAATACCAGGAATAAGACTAACTGGTGGTCTCGTTCAACTGATTGCCCGCCATGACAAACGTCTAACAATCTATGGAAAAAAAAATTATAAATATTTTGAAGATTCTAAATTTTGAAATTGTAAATCCTTAATTTAGATGTCTATCTGTCTTATTCTATATAAAGAAAGGCTGGCTCTGTAGTGACGGCGTTACAAAATTTATCACCGTTTTGTCCTGTAGCTGTTGTAAGGAATATAGAAAGGCAAGAAAGACTTATACAGACTGATGAAGAAAAAGATGCCTAAGCTTAACGCTGCTGTGTTTTGTATGGTGAGTGTAGAGAACCAGAAACCTATTTTACTGGAAATGAGGCATTCCATCTTAGTCCTCAGAGATGACAACACATCAGCTTTTTATTCTTAATTGAGGATAGATGTAGATGTTTATGGGCCACAGCAACCACTTACCTTCAGGTGGACTGTGTGCTCGTTTGTCACCCTATCCTATAAAAAAAATACCCAGACTAGCGATGGCCAGCAGCCTCAAAGGTGCAAGATGTCTGGTAGAGCAATTGTCAAGCCGCCTGCTAAGTATAAATAACTAACTAATTATTTTCCCTGTAACAGAAGAGGTCCTTGTTTAGCAAAAAGGGAAGAATATTCTGTACTTTTGTACGTGGTAAAGCCATGCTGCAGCTTTTTTTTTTATAGGATAAGGGTGACAAACGAGCACACAGTCCACCTGATGGTAAGTGGTTACTGTGGCCCATAGACATCTACATCTATCTTCGATTAAGAATCAAAATGCAGATGCGTTGTCACCCGTGAGGACTAAGATGGAATGCCTCGTTTCCAGTAAAAAGCGTCTCCGGTTTTCTACACTCACCTGAAAAACAGTAGTATTGAGCTGCTCTTTTACGCTGGTATTCTGTGAGAGCGTGGTCCTTCCCCTCTTGAGTCGACTCATTCGTACTACAACCATAATATAGCCAACCATAATATAGGTAGAGCCATGCTGCAGCTATATTATGGTTGTAGCACGAATGGGTGAACCGGAGATCGGTTCACCCATTCGTGCTACAATCGGGTTATAACACATCTGCATTTTGATTCTTAATCGAGCATTGATGTAGATGTCTATCGGCCACAGCATCCACTTACCACCAGGGGGGCTGTGTGCTTGCTTTCACCCTTCTTCTATAAAAAAAAAACAACACACATTATTATTAAAATCTCACCGAACTATATTTGGATGCCTGTATGCTTCTAGTTGCCTTAATAATGCAATCTCCCTTAGTGTGGACAGAGGTATGCCATCCTCAGTCAATGCCACCTTCACTTTCTTCATGGCTACAATTTGACCACCATTGTGCAGGTCTCTAGCTTTGTACACTGTGCCATAGGCTCCTAAAAACACAATATAAAATAAATTTGTCTATCAATTAATCTAGGTCCTAAATTAGAAACTAAACTGGGACACAACAATTTTATATAAATTATGCACAAGGTGTAATGCGATGGATGCATGGGTAAACAGGAATTCCCCCTATACCCACTGGTGGGTGATGCCAGTAGATTGTTACCCAATATTATGCATATTTTCCAAAGATTTCATTTATTTTTTACAAAATGTTGTTATGGTTGCCAGCATCCCTTCTTATGATGATGTAAATTGGCAGGAGTTTATTAAACATGTATTTAAATGAATTAATCATTGTTGTGTTACGATCAAAAATTTGAATATATAGTCGCTTGTGAAGCAGAGCTTTCTTTTGCCTTGGTTACTAATAATAAGTAGACAAAGTTAATTGTTTATTATACCAGCAAATATGAACCTTATGACTCAAGCTTTAAATTCTCAACCACTCAGCTTTACTCAAACAGTAATCAAGAATGGGAATCTATTGTATGCAAAAAAGAGACAACTATATACGTTGCACTAACTACATCCCTTTTTCCACACGCACCAACTGTCACTAATTGTTTTTAAGTAGGTATCTCGTTCGTATTATCTAAATTAAGAAACAAACTTTTTAGGTTGAATATTATTCTGCAATATTTAATAAAAAAGGAATACTTGATTTTAATCTTGCCTTTACGCTTAATAAGATTATTAACAAAAATGCGCGAGATCATACTAGGTGCCGGCACATGGTGTTTAAGTAGGTTATAATAAAAATACCTGTTCCAATTACATTGAGTTCTTCATACTTTTTTGCAGTTTGAAATAGGGCACTAAAATCACTTATAGAGGCCATAGAAGGAGGACTTTGGGAGGTACTACTAGCACTTGCACCCGACATAATGTTGACTAAATATTATTAGATACTTTCTAATGTTTACGTTACGTTACATCTCACCAACACTTATCCCAAAAAAGGACAAAAGTAAACATCACGCTTTTGTTACAGTGTTAGTGCGTTTTATGTTTTTGCAGATCAATAAAAAATATTAAAAGTTCGCAAAAGTTGTTATAAAGTTGACAGTTAAGTTTCGAGGGGCAAGAGGCAAGAGGGAGGTACCAAACACCTGGCGTATAATACGACTAAATTAAATATTTATAGTTAACCACAGAGACAGAGTAAAAGAACCTACTATGTATAGGAAGGAGTAAGAGAGATGTAATATAGATGCTAACTAATGCTATGTCTATTATCAACTTAACGTAGTTAACTTCATTCTGTTAAAGATTACATAAACGGCATCTATTGACTCATAATATGAATATCACCAAAGTTCCAAAACATACTTTCTGATTCATTCTGGAAAATAATTAAAAAGAACTCACTCACAACAGGTGGCGGTGTTACAAAGCAAGAAACAAGAATTTAATTCAATCACAATAAAGGAATATATTACTTTCTAATTATTGAGAAGAAAAAAAATGTTTTATATATAACAGCATTTTTCATTTAGGTGGACGTTGTTCAGCCCTTCTTCTGATACGCAGCGCGATTTATAATTTATCTATGATTCGACCACAACGCCACCTATCGCGTACAGTTATTATCATGGTTTTCTTTTTGCCACTAAATTTACTTTATTATATCGTGATTAGGGCCTAATCACGATATATCCTAATCATTAGGGTAGGCTATGAAGCATTTTTATCCTTATAATAATAACGTATTTGTTAATAACTTTAATAAGGTGCGACCTATCGGATATAACATAGCTACGAACCATCATCTCAAGAACACCTGGACCTATATTTGTGGTTATAGCCTTGAACTGGTTAAATCGTTCAAAAACTACAAGATTACAGACTCACTATAATAATGGTTATTTATAAGTATTTATCCTCAGTTGAAACTGGTCCGGCGGACGTTGCTACGGCTACTCTTTCCGGTAGGTGGCGCTACAAATTATAACAAACCTTTGTATTTGCCCTGAGACTGTGACACTAAACTCCGATGTGCCGCGATGAGTTTCACTTCAAATTCAATCCGCACTTTTTACAAAGTATAAATTAAAATAATATTTTTGTGATTTCCATATACATTTGTACATGTATTGCTATATATTTATATTTAATAAAAATACTAGACCACAATGCCACCTATAACGGGTCCAGATTTTTTATAAAATTTTTTGGTAAGCTGAATCTACATAGGACGTATGTATTATTATAATGAATCTAATATGACCTCAATCGGGCAAGTTGTTCAGAAGTTACACAACCCCTACAAGTTAAAAAGCTTAAAAAGAATAAACGGTATAATATTACTAATAAATAAAAAAGCATAAAAGTTAACTTGGGCTCGTCCGGGATTTGAACCCGGGACCTCTCGCACCCGAAGCGAGAATCATACCCCTAGACCAACGAGCCACAAGAACCATTGTTGAATTTGATTGTCTTGATGTACAAATAATAGGAAGCTGATAAAACATTTTTACCCAACTGCCAAAGAAGAGTTATGTTTTTCGCGCGTATTTTGTATGTATGTTTGTTAAATTTCTTTATTACCTGTCTATTCCTAACGGCTGGATGGATTTCGACGGTTAAGGTATCGTTATGTTCGTCTAAAAAATCGAAGTGTTCTTAGATGGGTGTTTGAAAAAAATAATCATAATGGCGGATTTTCGGCGCAAAATAGTAATACGTTAATAAAAAAAAATACATACATACATACATATAATCACGCCTCTTTCCCGTAGGGGTAGGCAGAGACCAGTTCTTTCCACTTGCTACGATCCTTACATACTTGTTTTGCTTCGTCCACTTTCATTATTCCCTTCATACATGCTCTACGGTTTAGGGTACTCTTGACCTGGCCTTTTTTCAAGACGTCCCTGATTTGGTCTAGAAATGTCCGCCTAGGTCTACCCCTTCCAACACTTTCATTCACACTCGCCTTATACACTTTTTTCGTCAATCGTTCTTCATTCATTCTCTCGACATGGCCAAACCATCTCAGCATACCTTTCTCAATTTTTGTCACTACATCTTCTTTCAGACCACAACGTTTCCTTATCTCACTATTTCTTATCCTGTCACTCAGTTTAACTCTTATCATACTTCTTAATGCTCTCATCTCAACTGCATTTATTCTGCTTTCATGTTTCTTCTGCCATACCCAAGTTTCACTTCCGTACATGAGTGTCGGAACCAACACCCCCTCATGCACAGCCAAACGAGCCTTGTTAGACACCTTCCGACTGCTCATAAAGGAGTGCAAAGCTCCATTCACCATGTTTCCTGCATTCACTCTTCTTTCGATATCACTCTCACACTTTCCATCTCTTGTAAACTTTGAACCCAGATACACAAACTCTTTCACCTGTTCAATTTGTTCATCTTCAATCACAATGTTGCAGTCTGTCACTGCCTCATCTTTTTCAAACACCATCACTTTCGTCTTCCTTACATTCATCTTCATTCCCTTTCTAACAAAAGCTCCACTCATAGCAGTTACCATCTCCTGCAACTCCTCGGCCGAAGACGCAAGTAATACTTGGTCATCAGCATAGAGAAAACTTTTGACGAGTAACTCATTCATTCTCAACCCACTTTCATTCTCTTTTAAATCTGTCAAACAATTGTCCATGAACAGATTAAACAGCCACGGTGACGCTACACATCCCTGTCTAACACCTTTTTCGATATTAAACCATTCCGTGTATGCCCCGTTTATCCTTACACAAGCACTAGAATCCCGATAAAGAGATTGCATTGCTCGTATGAGGATACTGCTCACACCGTTTACGGACAGTGCTGACCACAATTCATTCCTCACCACTCTATCATAGGCCTTTTCTAGATCTACGAACGCGCAGTAGACTTTCTTGTTTTTAGCCAAATACTTTTCGGCTATATATTAAAAAAAAAATAACCAAGCCTATAGAGTAGAGTATCAAAATAAGTGAAATTAAGTGGGGAATAAAAATATATATAAGTTATATGTTTAAATTTAATTAGGAATAATAAAAAGTAAAAAGGTTTAGAAAGCGTAAAAATGGGCCAATTTGTACCGCGCCTTATAATTTGCTTTAACTTACTAAAATAATATAAAAAAAAAATATTAAAAAAATCAAAAACCCGACTGCAAAAGAGACAATTTAAAAGTAATGCATTACCTACTAAAACATAGAATTATTACCCAGTAATTCTATGCTACTAAAGATATTAAAAAAATTATATTATTTTAGTAAGTTAAAGCAATCAGACAGTTATTTCTTTAGTATAGCACAAACACATTATTTTTTTTAAATTTTAATTTAATAATTTATTTAATTTTAAAACAATGTTGTATAATATAGTACCTACTTCAATGTTATGTAAGTAAATTATATATATTATTAATCATAAAGTAAAGAAATTAAAATGTTATATTAATCAATAATAAAATATAAAAATCTTAGATTTGGACAATATTCTGATAAACAATAAATAAATGATAATTATAAATGTTTAATTAATTATTGTTTTAAAATGCAACTTTTAGAAAGTTGACGCGCGAAAGGAGAAAAATTACCGCTACCGGATTCCTTATAGCTGTCCTTGTTTTTCAAATTGCTTGTATATCTCTTATCTTTGTTCCGCAGACGATTTTGAGAGAAGTCTTTCAAACGCGCCAGTCGGTATCAAACATTACAGCGCGCGTGTGTTTAAAAATTATATAAAGATATTTTTACGTTTTTTAATCAAATACAAAAGTTATATCCGTTGCTTTTATATTTTAATAATTGTAAAATAATATGTGATAAAACTAATTAAGTTGCATTAAAATATTATTGATTTTTGAATGTTTTCTCTAAACTTAACTCATGTGTCAGTGCATGGTAAAATGTGAAAGTTGGTACGTGCAAAGAAAATAGTGCGAGTTCCTTTTTGCTACTTTTAGCATACTTTTGTGATTCAAACAGCTGATAAAATAGTTTATTATACGCATCAGGTAAGACTTTTTAAAATTTTACCAAAACTGTATAAATAATATATTCATTTACATATTCTATATTTTTTTTATTATGCTGTGATTATTGTAACTTTTAATTTGTAGTCATTTTTCATTCCATTCCAAATAATTTTATTTTACTTAAACTCTTTATTGTTTAAATCAAATATAAAGGTAGTTAATATACGTAATAATAGGTATTACGTATAATACAAATAGACAATCCAATCTAATCAAACCAATGAGTTGGTGAAGTGAAGGAGAATTTTATCTAATTATTATTTTTTTAAGTTTAGCGAAAGTAGCCTAAACCGCGAATTTGTAAGGAGCGGGTTCGAATCAGTTAATCAACTAATGTCGTGAACCACTCATCACCCAACGCGCGTTTTAAGGTTACTTGGAGTTGTTAACGGAAGCATTAGTAATAATGTCTTATTTACATGATCTATTTTGGTTATTTTTAACAGTTTTTTAACACCTACTAACTTTTATTTCTCTATTTCTCCCAGGGTTGATTGGTAGAGAATGTTATTTTACGGAATTATGTATGCCCATTATATTGTAAAATAATGGACCTGTGTTAATATGTGAGACAATGACTTTATTGTATGCTTTTTTAAGGTTCGATCTTTTGGGCCTGAACTTCATTGATTACGTTGGTTTCGAAGTTTATAGAGCCTGTTTAATTAGCCGACTGTTTCTTTTCCTTTTTTTGTATGTATCTAACGCGATATCTACGTCAAGCGTGAACCGATTTTGATGATTCCCTTTTTATTAAATAGGTTTTACTTCAGCGGTGGTCCCATATAAATTTGGAGGAAAGCTCTAACTCTAAGGGTGGTAAAATATGGTTTTGAAAATTTTAATAGACCTATTAAGGCGACATTGATATTGTGATTTTTTTATAG